TCTCTTTAAAAAAAAAAAAAAAAACATGGTTAAGAGGGAGGCCTAGGCCTGTGGCCAAGTGGTTAAAGTTCTGGGCACTCCACTTCCCCAGCCCGGGTTCACGGGTTCAGATCCCAGGCACGGACCTACTCTACTCATCAGCCACGCTGTGGTGGCGCCCCACATACAAAGTAGAGGAAGATTGGCACAGTTGCTAGCTCAGGGACAGTCTTCCTCACACAGACACACAGACACACACACACACACACACATAAAAATGGTTAAGATGGTAAATTTTATGTTTTTTACCACAATTAAAAATAAAAAGTAAAGCACACTTATTGACTGATTGGCTGCCAATATCACCTTATACTGCTAATTATCTGATGCTGGAAGAGACTCTAGAAACATTTTAGACAAACAACCCTCCGAAACAGAGAGCTGGAAAGGGAAGGAAGCTGGCCCAGGGGCGCACAATCACGGCGTCAAGGCTAAGACGCGCAGGCTCGCCCGAGAAGAGTGGCAGAGGCAGTGCGGCATCACGGAAAGCGCCCGGACGAGCGGTCACAGCCCCCGCTTCAGGTTCTGCTCCTTCACTTACCGAGTTCTGTGACCTCAGAGAAATCACTTATTTTCTCCGAGCTTCATTTTCCTGACCTATCAGAAAGCAGTTAAAAATAGCCTATACTTTACAAGATTACGCGTGAATCAAATAAAATCATATACAACTAATGTGAAGAGAAAGCACTTGGCCAACTACGAATTACTTTATAAATACTATTTATTGTCATTTATATTAAATATCTCTTCATAGATTTAAAGATTAAAAGCTGATTAAGTCAGACAAAAAACAATCCCACTCCATCCTGGTCCGTGCTCAGCTGTTCAGGGCCTTGCACACAGCAGGTCTTCAGAGAGTGAGTGCAGAACTGAATGACCCTTCAGGTTTTATCTATCCCAATCCTCTTCGCTCCCTCACCCCCAGCCCACAGCCCAGCTGCACTAGCTGCCAGGACCAGGCGGAGGGTGGGAAACGGTGTGAGCGAGTGTCTGCCTCCCTGGCTGCATTCCTCAGCTAAATATAAATGATTCGTCCAGTCCATTGTTCGCAATTATCCATAATACCTCTCCTCCCTTCCCCATCACTTACAGTGACAAGCTGACTGTACATCTTTATAGCAGAACATACATACAAAACATTCTCTAAGGCTATTTTTAGTGGAGAGAGGGAAGCTGGCTGGTATACAGGGATCAGAGCATGAGTCCTCAGTTTTCTCCACAAGTCCAGGAAAGCTTCCTGGAGGAGGAAATACCTGAGTCACCCGAGAGAAGGCGCCAGCTGCAGGTCAGACGGGCGCCCTCTCCTAATGATTTCGGTTCTCTGAACCAAAGAGGGGTGAGCTGCTGCCTTCTTATCCCTGTTTTGGGGAAGGGGTGGAAAAGTCGACACAGCCCAGGGGATCCCATTCTACCCCAATGCTTCAAACTGCCCCAGACACTATAGGCACTTGGGGGAGCAGCAGAGAAGAGGCTGGTATCTTTCTTAAAGAGAGACGATGCAAGATTCCAGTTCCGAGATACACAAGGACAAATACTGCCCTCATAACAAGCCAGTTTCTTGTTTGGACTTTTTTTTTTTTTTTAACCACAAGAAAGTTTTTTAAAGTCCCAAACTTGGATGCACAGATGGACTACATCTCGGACCTCAGGCCGTGCCAAAGCCCTGTCACTCTGAGCGCCGATCTGCCATAGGTGGCCCAAAGAGTGGTCAGGGGTGCCCGGGGTCTGCAGGCAGTACCCCAGCCGTGCCCGAGCCCCCCGCCCTCCCTGGGGGCGTCGTATGGATGGCCCCAAGCTGGGCCGCTGGGCCGCACAGCTGAAACCCTTGACAGCTCCGCGGCTCTCCCCTTCAGCTCCATCCTCAGCCCTCGCAGCCCTCCGCCTGGGATTCGGCCGTCCCCTCTCCCACAGCCCCACTTCCGAAAGGTCTTCCTCCGAGCCTCTCCCCTTGCAGAGCCCTCTCTGCCCGGTTACCGGGCCCCACACACACCGTCCCGGTCCCGGGCCGCTGCCCGCCCCCTCACAGGGCGCCCACCCCTCCCTCCCTCATCCTCCCCACTGCCGCCCTCCGACACCCCCTCCGCGGGGCGCCCCCGAGCCGCTCCTCTCCCTGGACACCCGCTGGGGGGCTGCCGGCCCGCCCCGAGCCGGTCGAGCCCTGCAGCCCCGCGTGCCCCGCGCCCCGGGGGCCCGGGCCGCACTCACCGCGGCCGCAGGAACGGGGGTCCCGGCTGGCTCCCTCCGCACCGCCGCCGCCACGGCCGCCGCCAGCGGAAACGGGGGGCGGGGCGGGGGCTCGCGGCGGGCGGGGCCTGCCCGGGATCGGCGGGGCGGGGCGGAGTGGGGCGGGGCCTGCCCGGGAACGGCGGGGCGGGGCGGGACAGCGGCTGGAGGAGGGAGCGGAGCGGGGCGGGGCGGAGCGGAGCGGGGCGGGGCGGGCGCCGGGGAGCGGGGAGCGGGGAGCGGGGGGCGGGGGGCGGGGACGGGACCCGAGGGCCTCTAACCCCCGCGGCCCGATCCCTGGCTCCAGAGCCGGAGGAGCCCCGAAGGGAGCCTGGGCCGTGCTGGGCGGGGCGTCCCGGGCAGGCGGGGCCGCCCTCGGGGATGCCGGAAGCCTTTCTCCCCTCCCGCCGCCTGGATTCTGGGGTCGGACGGCCGAGGACTGATTACGCCGCGTCTCCTCCCACTCCCCCACCACGCCCCCCGGCCTGGCCGCAGCCCTGACCCGAGCTGGGGAGGGGGAGAGCAGGGCCTGGGAGCGCGCGCTCCTGCGCCCGGCGTCCGGACACCCCCGAGGGCCGTCCTGGCCAGGGGCTCAGCTTTGCCCTAGGGCCAGGTCGTCCGGCCCCGCCGCCCGCACCCCCGCCCCTCGGAAGTCCCTCCCTGGTATTTCGGGCGGGCGGACTATTTGCGATGTTGACGCGGGTGTGTTTCGACTACTGCCTGGAGATACTCTGTGGAGGAGCCGCTATCTGTCTCCTAGGAGCTGGAGGCCTCCAAGTGTTGGTCAAGGGCACCGTGTGCCGGGAGGCACGCAATTGAAGCAGGAAAAACTCAAGTTAGACGTCTGCGGCCGAGTGCTTCCTACAGGCCTTTCCTGGCCTGCGTTCTTGAAGCCAGCACGTCTGGCCTCCTTTCCAAAGTGAGAACGGAACAGCCGTCTCTCCTCCTCGTCGTCCTTGTCATGGAAATGTACTCTGTGCTTCCCACGTGCACGATCATGTGCTAAGTATGATTTGAAACAAATGTCTAACCCTGACTGTGACCGCCAGGGTCCCCTGGTGTCTCCTGATTAGACTGGCAGTCTACTCATCTCCTGGACCCCCTCCCCTCAAACACACACAACCTTGTTTTTGTCTGTTATACAACTCAATAATCCAACTCCTTCTGACTCCCCTTCCCCTTCCTTCAAAACCTTGTTCAATGCCCCCCATAAGGCCTTGCCCGGCTACCCCCAGCAGCCCCCATCTCTCCGGTCGCTGTGGCAGTCCTGTAGCACGTGTTGCTAGCTCTGCCCAGCTTCCAGAAGAGGAAATTGAAACAGAGAGAAAGGGATTTGCTTGCGATGTCTGCTGGGCGAGTGATCTTACTGTGAAAACAAGGGAGGCAGCCTGGTGGGGAGCAACCACCAGGCTTTGGAGCCCAGACAGGCCTGGGGCTGAACCCTGGCTCTGCCTCTTCTGGGTTGTGACCTCCCTCGGCCTCAGTTTCCTCACCTGTGAAATGGACTTAATAACACCAATCCATCACTGTTGATGGGATGACCAAGGTGATGGAGGCAGAAGCACAACATTTAATGCATAGTGGGTAGGCAACAAATGTTAGCTTCCTCCTGCCCTCTAAAAAAAGATAAGGAAATCTGAAATAATAGGATTAGGGAGCCTTAGGGATGGAAGAAACCGTAGAAGAATCCCCTCAGCAATAACCCCGAAAGTGGCCATGCTGCCAACCCTCCTTCAACACATCCAGACGTGGAGCACTCGGTGCCTCCAAAGGGGTTTACAGCCAGAAGAGAAGCCCGTGACGGAGAGCTGCAGAGGGCATGGAACACTCAAAGGAGGCCAAGGCGACTCTCTGGCTGCAAGGCAGACACGCCCCACCATGTCCCCTGAGCACAAAACTCAAATAAATAACTGACAAGGAGGCAAGACTCTCTTAGGGCAGGAACTCCCAAAAGCATGAGGTCACAGATTCCTGTGCCAGGCTCCTGCCGAATGTCGGTGAGTTTCTGTCCTGGAGGTTCTGCAAAAGCTGAGGACAAAGCACCATCTAGATAAGGTGACATGTCCAGGTTCTCAGCCACATCCCACTTACTTCTCTTGTCCTGGCAGAGTTACTGATAGTCCCCCTTCATGCTCAGAATATCTTGGTTTGGACAAAAAGTTCTATGTCACGCTAACTGTGAGCAAAAGCAGTACTCCAAACAGCTCCTTTCAGCCCTGGATGGCAGCAATTCTGCTGGAATTTCTGGATCCCCAGAGACTTCAAAACATAGTATGTCAGTTTATCCCCTTGAAATCACCAAATCAAATCAAAAATGATAATAAGCAAAAATTAAGTTTCCAGCCAGCCACCCTGCGTCAAGCTAAGGGACAGACAGGGCCTGCTGAATTGTGACACCTAGTGGCGAGAGTCGACACTGCTGGAGGCTGAGTTGCCGGGACGCTTGGCATTCAACCCTGGTTGTTTTTGTTTGTTTGTTTGTTTTTTAAAGATTGGCACCTGAGCTAACATCTGTTGCCAATCTTCTTCTTTTTCTTCTTCTTCTTCTTGTTCCCAAAGCCCCCCAGTACACAGTTGTATATTCTAGTTGTAGGTCATTCTGGCTGTTATGTGGGACGCTGCCTCAGCATGGCTTGATGAGCAGTGCTAGGTCCATGCCCAGGATCCAAACCCATGAAACCCTGGGCCCCCAAAGCAGAGCGTGCGAACTTAACCACTCGGCCACGGGGCGGCCCCTTGGCCATAGTTTTAAGTCAGCTTGTAACGCAGAGAACAGCTCACATTTACCAAGTGCTTCTATGCCAGGCACAGTTCTTAGTACGTCAATGTTTTAATTCGTTTGATCCTCACAACAACTCAGTGAGGTAGGTACTGTCATTGTCCCTCCATTTTACAGATGAGGAAATTGAGGCTCGGAGGGATAGGTATTTACCCCGGGTCATTTAGCCAGTGAATGACTGAGCCAGGCTAGAGCCCCAGGTTGTCTGGCTGCAGGGCCCGGGCAGTAGCTGCTCCTCCAGGCAGCCCTTATCAGCCACAGGCACAAGCTACTTTTGAGGCGTCTTCCATCTAAAGTGACGTCACCAGCCCTCTGACATGGGGACAATGTGAAGGGAGGGAGAAGCAGAGTGTGCCAGGACGTCTACTTCCACATCTACGGTGAGGAAGGCCGGTCTCCACATTCACCAGGGATTAACATCGGAGCATTAAGCCAGACCCTGAAAAGACATAAACCACGAGTTCATGCGCGGGGCAGCGGCTAGTTTAAAGAAGAACTTTCCTGCGTGAAGAATGAAATAGTTCCTTCCCGACCCCGCCCCCCTCAACGACATTTACTCCCGCAACTTGAAGAGCGGTTACTGGTCACTGAAGCCTGCCAGCTGCGGGAGAGTCCAAACCCAGACCTGCCGCCGCTCTCAGGGCATGGAAGGCACAAGTGAGCGAAGGCTGTTCCGCTTCCTTTCCGTGCTCGTCTTCTAAAGAGGGCGAGTCATCCCAGGCCCCCTCCTTCCTTCAACTTCTTTCTCTTCCAAAGCTCAAAGTGCGGCAGGAAAAGCAGCCCTGAGGGCACGCCTGGTAAGCATCTTGTACAAGTCTTTGTCATGAGGTTTCCCTGCCTATTTGGGACATACTTATTCTAAAAAAGGTATTCGTTGTTTATCTGAAATTCATTGTTTATCTGAGTGTCCAGTATCTTTAATTGCCAGATCTGACAACTCTGTTTTGTTATTGATTGTTACTAAAACAGTTGGAAAACGTAGACTAAATGAGAGGTCCGTAAACTTTTTCTGTAAAGGGCCAGATACGAAATGTTTCAGGCTTTGCAGGACACACAGTCTCTGTCACAGCTCCTCCGTTCTGCCACGGTGGCACGAAAGTAGCCATAAACAATACACAAATGAATGAGCATGACTGTGTTCCAATAAAACTTTATTTACAAAAACAGGCCGTAGTTTGCCAGCCCCTGGACCAAATTAGGGCCTTCAGACTCCTGGCTATCTTCAGATGCATTGTAGGCACAAGAGTGGGTTAGATGCAAGTTCTCAAGCATGAAAAACAGAGAGAGATTGATCAAAATCATTGAGCATGACGAATACCAGTGATTCTGGGTAGGTGTGGCGCATGTGCACGTGTAACCCGAGGTGGGTGCAGAAAGCTTGCACTTCTCCAGTAGGGTTGGTTTGGAGCTGCCTAGGTTTCATAAAGTCTGGGTCAGAGCCTGTGGGAAGAAGTGCGGATTCTGTGTGGAATTCCTGGTGGTCAGCACGTACTCTGTAAAGACAGAAATGCACAGGCAGCATTGTGAAGTCAGACAGAAAGTGCAGAGGTCAAGAAAAGCAGGACGCCCCTGCAGAAGGCCTTCAGCTGAAGCGGGAGCTGTTGGCATGTGTCCACCTGATGCACAGTACTCAGAAACACATGGTAACTCTGTCTGTGCGTGCGTGTGTATGCATGCCAAATGTACACCATCCATCTGAACATGTGGGTAGCAACTGATTGGTTGGAATCAATAAATGTAACAGTAATAGCCGTATCAGCTACATATGTATAAACTTCCTTAACGATCTTAGGATAGTCCTATATGCTTATCAAGGGCAATTACATGGTTTAAAATCATGCTTTAAATTCTGTCCTGCAATACAAAACCACATGTAAAAGGACTGACCAATTAAAAGAATTAAACCCAAACATAAATTTGCCACAGCACAGGAAGTGTTAATGTGTCTGGAGCAAGGGCATTGTGGGGCACACAGTGTAAGAGAAGGGCAAGGCGTCATCAGGCAGCAGCCTCTGCCAAGTCATATGAGGGATTTCGACATGTGCATATGTCTTAAGAAAGTAAGTCATCACTGAAGTCTTTTAAATAGGAGAGTGACAGGATCAATTTGCATTTTGAGACTATCTCTCTGGTGTAGTATAAAGAGGAAATTGGAGGGGAGCAGGAGCCAAAATGGATACAGGAGGCTTTAGCAGTGGTCTAGGCACGAGATGAAATTAGCTTGGTCTAGGTTGGTGGTAATGATGAAGCAGGAATATGGAGAGACTGGAGAGTGATTCAGAAAGTGAAAAGTACACACTGGCGATGGACATGGGGGATTAGAGGAGAAAAGGTGTCAAAAATGACTCCTCGGCTTTCTGGGAAGCCTAGTAGGGATGGTCAGTGAGGCCATTCACTGAGCTAAGCAACAGGGAAGAGGCCTAGACCTAAGGGAAACGTTATGAGTTCAAGGAAGATGAGGGCTGAGTATCCATCAGATTTAGTGAGTTGAAGGTCACTAGGAATCTTGGCAAGAGCCATTTCTTTGCAGGGATGAGGCAGAAGCTATGCTGGAGAGGGTTGAGAAGGGAGCAGGAGCTGAGAAATGGAGATAGTAAGACAATTTTTTTTTTTTTTTTTTTTTGAGGAAGATTAGCCCTGAGCTAACTGCTGCCAGTCCTCCTCTTTTCGCCGAGGAAGACTGCCCTGAGCTCATATCCATACCCATCTTCCTCTACTTTATATGTGGGATGCCTACCACAGCATGGTTTGCCAAGCGGTGCCATGTCCACACCCGGGATCCGAACCGGCGAACCCCCGGCTGCCAAAGTGGAACATGCGCACTTAACTGCTGTGCCACAGGGCTGGCCCATTAAGACAATTCTTTCAAGAAAATAGGCTGGAGATGGGAAGACACATAGGGCAGACAGCTGAAGGAGATTGTAGATCAAGAGAGGGTTTGAGGAGTTTAATGGGGAGAATTGAACATTTTTAAACCCTTGTGAAAAGAGCCCTATTTCTGGTATGGAGGAACCATCTCCTAACTGACCAGCCCTCACATGGATGATAACTATACACTCTGGACAACATACAGAAAAACCAACCAACAAGACCAAAAGAAGACAAAACAGGCAACTGAGGGCTCTGGAGAATGAACCCAAGCGGGTAGATTCGGGAGGGAATTCAAAATGTGGAAGAAGCAACTGGCATGAGATGAGTTTCCACTTTTTGTGGATTTTTCCTGTGTTGGCCGCAGTCACAGCACAGCATAGGGTGGTTAAAATTCCAATAGAAAACCCACTGTCTTTCTGGCAGGAGGAACCAGAGGATGGAGCCCAGAGCAATCAAGTTCACTGAAGAGTGAAGGGTGAATCCTGGAAAGGACAGAGCCAGAGAAGAGGAACCCAACATTCTTCCCATAAACTCTGCCCAAGGCTCTGATTCACGCCGGACCCGCACACGAGCAGGGTAAACTGCAGGTGTCCCAGCTAAAGATGAAAAGAAACGGAACCCGGAGCAATCGCCTGCTGCAGGTAAGACAGAGTGTGTAGTTTGAGTATAACCAAGTTAATTGCCTGCTAAAAGAAATATATCAACACTTTTCTGCAGAATAAAATAGAATCCAGAATCTCCTCAGCATAACCTTCAAAATATTCAGAATATGCTCCAAAATTAGTCAGCATACAAAGAACCAGGAAAATGCGACCCATTCTTCAGGGAAAGCAAACAACAGAGGCCAATCCTAAGATAACTCAGATGTTGGGGTTATCAGACAAGGATATTAAAGCAGCTATTACAACTATGCTCAAGGATATAAAGAAAAACAATTTATAATAAATGAACAGAAAGGAAATCACAGCAGAAAAATAGAAAATATAAAAAAGAACCAAATGGAAATTTTAGAACTAAATATATGGAATAAAAAAAAAATCTCTGGAAGGGCTTAATGGCCAAATGAAAATCCCAGTCGAAAGAGAAAATAAACTTGAAGATGGATCAATAGAAAGTAACCAATCTGAAAAAAAGGAAAAAGGTTGGAAGGAAAGAAAGATAACAGAGCCACAGAGACCTGTGGGACAATATCAAAATATTGTCTAATATATGGATAATTGGAGTCACAGAAAGAGAAGAAAGAAAAAATGGGACAGAAAAAAATATATATTTAAAGGCTTATGGGAAGGATCCAGTTGAGAGGAAGAGGTTGAATATATAGGAAAGATAACAGATCACAAATAGTAGATATTTTTATAGACGGAGGGAAGGGATGGAATCCAAAGTGTAAGTGTAGAGATTTGGCTAAGGCAGAAAAGATGATAGCACTTGTAATTGCAATAGGCGGGGAGAGAGGATAGGATGGGAGCAAACATAGGCGGATTTGTGTCTGAGATGAGAATTTTCATTTGACAACTTCTATTTTCCCTCTTAAAGGGAGAGAGCTTGAGCGATGGTTAGAGAGACAGAAGGGCATCTGCTGTGCGTGGAGTTGTAAAGGAAGGCCAGAGGTTTGAGATAATCGCTGTGAGACAGTGAGTTCATTGTAGACACTTGACAGGGTTCCCTAGGTGTCCTGAGGGCCCGTTTGAACATAGTAACCATGAATTTCTGTAGAACAAATACACCCTGTTGTGTGACTTTCCCAGAGGCTGCGTGAGTGCAAGCATGGTGATTTGAATAGTTGGGTCCATCCATGGCTGGAATTTTGCTAGATGGGTGTGACAAAATGACAAAGGATCAAGGTTAGGGTATTATCAAGACTGTTATAGACGTGGCCCCTAACCCTGATACGGAGCGCAGAACAGAAGTGAGAGGGCTGATGGTGTAGGGATGATTAGAGAGATTAACAGAGCAGAGGTGCCGGTGAGGGGGAAACAGTTGCTGTGGGAGATGTTGAACAAGCCAGCTGAAAGGAGGGGAGGCAGAAGTCGAGAGGGACAGACTGACTCAGTGATTTGCGAGTGGAAGAGTTTCCAGTAGTGCCAAAGCCCCAGTTGCAACTGTGGAAGTGGGTGGCTTGGAGAGAAGAGAGACGGTCTTCAGAGAGAAGGAAGCCAATACACTGCGAGTCCAGGTGATCCGTTGAAAATTTCACCCAAACCAACACTGAATTTACCTAGGATGAGAAGATATGAGACAGCTGCTGAGATCTCTGAGAATGAGGGACTGGGAGGTCCGTAAATGACAGAGGCTCTCTGGAGGGGAACAGGATAGCATAGCTGTATGGCTCAGACTCAGAAAAATGGTCTCAGGGGAGTGGGAAGCAAGGAAGACAGTCCCCTCCCTCCCAGCTTCTATGTTGTGGTTTGGAAGAATGAAACCAGCTACCGTGTGGGAGGGCTGCAGAAGAAGCAATGTCTAGGGGTATTACTTATCTATGGCTGCACAACAAATTACCACAGACTGAGCAGCTTAAGACCACACCCATTTATTATCCCATGGTTTCTGTGGGTCAGTCCCGCATGGCTTAGCTGGGTCCTCTGCTCAGGGTCTCACAAGGCTGCGATCAGGGTGTTGGGAGATTGTCATCTGGAGGCTCCACTGGAGAAGCATCGGTGTCCGCACTCACTCAGGTTGTTGTCAGAATTCATTTCCTCACGGCTGTGTGACTGAGGGCCCTGGCTTCTTGCTGGAGGCTGTTCCTCAGCTCTTAGAAGCTACCCTCAGTGCTTAAGCCATGTGGGCTTTCCCAACACGACCACTTATTTCATCAAGCCAGCAAAGAGGGCCTCTAGAATGAGCCTGCTAGCAAGATAGAGTCTTATGTAACAACTTAATCAGGGGTGTGACATCCCATCACCTTGCCGTATCCTATTCATTAGAAGCAAGTCACAGGTGTACACATGCTCAAAGAGAAGCCGTCACACAAAGATGTGAACACCAGGAGTCATGGATCACGGGGCACCTTAGAGTCTGTCCTCCACAGCAGGGGTGTGGGGTACACGGCATTTGCTGGTCACTGTGGGGCAGCACGGCGGATGGAGGTGGGAGGCGGTGAGGTGGGAGCTGGGTAGGACAAGGGAATCCTGAGCACTTGAGGATGGGGGTTCGGCAGAGGATGGATGAGGTGACAGGGAGAGGGGCTTAGACTTTGGGTACAAGCTGATGGAAATTGGGTTCTCTGCCTTTGTACTATGGAAAAGAAATCTGCTTACCTCCAAAAACATGTTGTGTCAAGTAGGTTAACTTTGCTAAATATATATTGCTTCCATTTCCTCCAAAAGCCTGGCCTCTTTAAAGAGCAGATGGTTGAGGCACATACACTGAGACAGTCAGAGGAGTCTTAAAGATAACAGGCAGAAACAAAATGACAACCCCATTTCCAGTATAAAAGGCAGAGGAGAGCCAGAGGCAGAGGTTACTCCAGGAGAAAGGAGGGAGCCTAAGCTGACGCTTTGAAATTGGCATCAAGCCTAGTGAAGTCAATAGAGTTGGGCAAAATAAAATTGTATGACTGTCAATAAAATGACCAAAGGATGGTGGTTGATAAGACACACAAGGATCATAAAAGTGACAAGGGACACATTTGCAGCCCTGGCCAGGGTATCTGGAATCTAAGTCAACATACATCCACTTATGACATAGAAAGTTTCATTAATATTATAATTGGAAAATATATAGCAGGATGTATTAAAGTTGTTTTTTAAAAAGAAGGAAGTGGTAGCTAAAAGCTGGTAGTGAAAAAGGAGAGAATAAAATGAAAAGCTTTCACAGTAGACTACATATTTCTAAAGGACTTAGCAGGGTTGGAGTTACACTGGCCACATCAGTGTGAACTCATTTTCTGGCTCTCTCACCACTGTGGCCTAGAAGTGGAGACCCGTCCCCACCTTCGGTGCTCATGTGGATAATCTGCTCGCACCACAAGTGCCCAGATATGGGTCCCTAACAACATTCACCCACTTACAGAAAACAGGGCTCCTCGGGGAGTAGCGGCCTCTGTACCTCGGGGGCAAGAAGGTCAGAGCCAGCCTCAGTCTGCTAGAAGTATGTTAGTTTCCAAAAAAAATGAGTGAAGTAGTGTTAAAAGGAAAAGAGACACAGCAAAATAATGCAAAGCTGTGACAATCTGAGTATCAGAGAGGAAACAAAAATCTTGTGAGAGGCCTGCGTCCATAATGTTATTGAATGTGGGTTATACTAAAAAAAGGTACAGCACATGTGAGTTCCCCAAAACGTCAACCATTCCAATTCAAATGTGCATACCATAGCCAAGTTCTGGTTAATAGTTAAGCCATGAATTTCTTGTGCTATATCAAGCAGTATGACTTAAAGGACACCCAGGGATCAAAAATGCACTGGATAGTAGTAAAAAAAAAAAAAAAAGGAGTTTTATGAAATTTGTTAGTGTGGCAGGCAAAGTTTGACGGTAGGAAGCCACCCCACAGATAACTGCCAGACTGCGTGAAATTATTTGAGATGGCACTTCTAGACCCCATCCCCAGACTGGCCCAGTTTCCAGGCAACTCTCCATATCCGTAACAGGAGGGCAGCCCCAAATTCGGAGCTCGTGAGCTGATGCGGAAGCGTGTGCGGGGCCTGGATCTGCAGCGCAGGCCCTCAGCCTGCCGTGAGGCTGCCTCTGCTGGGTTTGGATAGCGGCTTGAAAGTAAATAAGGAAGAAGGTGAATGAAGCAAACATATAAGACTTTTGTGATAGGTTTGAGGCTATGTGTTGTAGTGACTACTGTAGTCTTCAGGATAATTTGCATTTCATCTGGTATTTTTTAGGTAATTTTTAAAGTTTATTGTTTTAATGTTTAATTGCTTTAAAAAAAAAAAACAAAAATGGGGCCGGGCCGGTGATGCAGCAGTTAAGTGTACACATTCCACTTTGGCGGCAGCAGCCTGGGGTTCGCCAGTTTGGATCCCTGGTGCGGCCATGGCACCGCTTGTCAAGCCATGCTGTGGTAGGCGTCCCACATATAAAGTAGAGGAAGATGGACAGGGATGTTAGCTCAGGGCCAGTCTTCCTCAGCAAAAAGAAGATTGGCAACAGATGTTAGCTCAGGGCTAATCTTCCTGAAAAGTATATATAAAAAATACTATTAAAAGAAATTTTTTTTAATTTTAAAAATTTACATAACATAAAATTAACCACTAACCATTTTAAAGTGTACAATTTTTATCTGCTTTTTAAGGTGTTGGAAAAGTATAAAAGCATGTGACGTATTAGACTTGTGATGTTAATTTAATTCTTAGGTGGGTTAAGTTTGACGGTTTAATGCTTAAGTAAGTCTGATTAGACCTAGAAGGTGAGACTTACTGTTTCATGAACAATGTGTAAGTTCTGAGTGGTGAATGCTTAGTGTCTAAGATTTTGTTAGATTTGTAAGTCTGCTTTATGAGATGTTTGAAGTTCTTAATTATAAACAGTCTAAGCTAATTTAATTAATCAAGTTTGTAAGTGATGTTAAATGTTTAGAGAATTTATAAGCTAATTGAGCATTATCCAAACAAATAAAAACCTGAGACCATAAAACTCCTAGAAGAAAACATAGGCGGTAAGCTCCTTGACATGGGTCTTAGTGATGTTTTTGCAGATCTGACTCCACAGGCGAGGGAAACAAAACCAAAATCAACAAGTGGGACCAGAGAAAACTAAAAAGCTTCTGCACAGCGAAGGAATCCGTAATCAAAACAAAAAGACAACCTACTGAATAGGAGAAGATATTTGCAAATCATATATCTGACAAGAGGTTAATATCCAAAATATATAAAGAACTCACACAACTTAACAACAAAAAAACAAACAACCTGATTACAAAATGAGAAGAGGATCTGAATAGACATTTCTCCAGAGAAGACATCCAGACAGGCAACAAGCACATGAAAAGATGTTCAACATCACTAATTATTAGGGAAATGCAAATCAAGACCACAGTGAGGTATCGCCTTGTGCTTGTTAGAATGGCTACTATTAAAAAGACAAGAAATAACAAGTATTGGTGAGGATATGGAGAAAAGAGAATCCTCATGCACTGTTGGTGGGAATGTAAATTGGTGCGGCCACTATAGAAAACAGTGTTGAGATTCCTCAAAAAATTAAGAATACAACTACCTTATGATCCAGTGACACCACTTCTGGGTATTTACCTGAAGAATATGAAAACACTAATTTGAAAAGATAGCTGCACCCCTATGCTCACTGCAGCCAAGACGTGGAAGCAACCTAAGTGCCCATCGACTGATGAATGGATAAAGAAGATGTGGTATAGAAATATAAGGGAATACTACTGAGCCGTAAAAAAGAATGAAATCTTGCCATTTGAGACAACATGGATGGACCTTGAGGGTTTTATGCTCAGTGAAATAAGGCAGATGGAGAAAGACAAATACCTTATGATTTTACTTATATGTGGAATCTGAAAAAAGCAACAAGGGGCCAGCCCAGTAGTATAGCAGTTAAGTTCACGTGCTCCACTTCTGCGGTCTGGGGTTTGCTGGTTTGGATCCCGGGTGTGGACCTACACACCACTCCTCAAGCCATGCTGTGGCAGGCGTCCCACATATAAAGTAGAGGAAGATGGGCACGGATGTTAGCTCAGGGCCAGTCTTCCTTAGCAAAAAGAGGATTGGCAGCGGATGTTAGCTCAGGGCTAATCTTCTTCAAAAAAAAGCAACAAAAACAAATGAACAAACAAAACAAAAGAAAAACAAACTCATAGATACAGAGAACAGACTGGTGGTTACCAAGGGAAGGAGGTTGGGGGAGCGGGTGAAAGAGGTGAAGGGGGGTCATTTGGATGGCAATGGATGGTAACTAGACTTGGTGGGGATCACTTGGTAGTGTTTACAGATGTCGAATTATAATGTTGTACCCCTGAAACTTACATAAAGTTATAGACCAATTTTACCTCAAAAAAAAAAAAAAGAACAAGTAAAAAGAAACCTAACAAAAATACTAGCTTTATGAATGAAACAGCAAGATTTCTAAGTTGAACTTAATAAAATTAGGCTTTAAAATGTATAACTTTGGGGCAAGCCTGGTGGCGCAGTGGTTAAGTTCTCACGTTCCACTTTGGCAGCCTGGGTTTGCCGGTGCAGAGTTGGCACTGCTTGGCAAGCCATGCTGTGGTAGGCTCCCACATATAAAGTAGAGGAAGTTGGGCATGGATGTTAGCTCAGGGCCAGTCTTCCTCAGCAAAAAGAGGAGGATTGGCAGGAGATGTTAGCTCAGGGCTAATCGTCCTCAAAAAAAAGTATAACTTTAATCAATTGAAAAATAATTAAAATACACAAATAACTTTCAATATTCTTTTTCATGCATAAAAGTTCCCTTCAGACATAAAAACTCGATTGACAGTGACTTAGAGGTTTATGGTTTTTTAAATTTTTTTAAAGATTGGCACCTGAGCCAACAACTATTGCCAATCTTTTTTTTTTTTCTGCTTTATCTCCCAAAATCCCCCCAGTACATAGTTGCATATTTTAGTTGTGGGTCCTTCTGGTTGTGCTATGTGGGATGCCGCCTCAGTGTGGCCTGATGAGCGGTGCCGTGTCTGCACCCAGGATCCGAACCAGCGAAACCCCAGGCCACCGAAGCGGAATGCGCAAACTTAACCACTCGGCCACAGAGGCCGGCCCCAGAGGTTTATAAACTAATACAAAAGTATAGAATAATATTTATTTGTTAAAATTTTGAAAGTTGAAACTATTACAAGTCAAATTAAAAGGAAGCACCCTTTTTTGAATTTAAACTTCTTTTATTCCATTTTCATTGATATATTTTGTTTATAGTAACCAGTTTTTACAAACACTGATGGATATGTTGCTCAAATACACACCTCCCCAGGGCAGGAAGCCCTGTCTTCCGCCCCACACTCCATCTCCTACGCAGGCTCCAAGAAGGAGGGGTCATTAGGGATTGGTCACAGTCTGGGGGTGGAGATTTCTCTGCGCCTGGTCAAAAAGTCTAGCCTGTTGCTTCTCAAACTTTTTTTTTTTGCAATAAGTTGGAATGAAGTTTCATAAGGCTCCAACATCAACATGCATCAGAACACATGCATTTTGGAGTTTAAATACAGTCACAGAGATATACTTTACAATAGAGATGGTTAAAAATATAATTTTACAAACACATCTTATAACATTCCTTGCTCTGTATTACTTCTGGGTTTCAATTTTTTAGATTTTATTTCTCTTTGACTAGGTAATACATTTAAATGGTTCAAAAATCAAAATAATCTATTCTTATTTCCCCTCCTTTCTTACACAGAACGTAGCATCCATATAGTCTGATCTGCATTTTGCTATTTTCACTTAACAATAGATCCTGGACATGACTCTCTATCAGTGGTTTTTCAAGTCTGAATGCCAAGCACATTTTCTACAGAAGGCACCTAATTTATCCTAGGCTGTAAAGGGCAGCTATAAGAATTCTGTGGCTGGACCGAAGTGGAATATGAAAGAAAATGTGGACTTATCCCTCTAAGCCACGTCCCCAACCCCAGGATCTTGTCTTCAGTGGAGGCATCTAAAGCTCCGTCCAGGCGTTCCTCCCTGCAGTCACCCCGAGATGCATGGAAATCTAGCTACGCCCTGTTTGAGGTCTCAGCTCTAGGCAGAGTGAGTGCTTCAAGCTGACTCCCTGTTCAGAGAGGGTCTGGCTGACTTTGTCCGTCTTACACACTACTGCAGCTCCAGCATCTTGCTGGAATTATAATAGCTTTTTTGGAATGAATTAATGCCTTCTCTTTGGCTGCCTTCAAACTGCCAAGAATGGCTGGAGAAAAAACTCACAACTGGGCAGATGCGCACCGCTCTAAACCCTTGGCTGCTCGCTATAGTCGGGACCTGAACACCGCTCAGCAATCAGTGTCCCTCTAGACCTGCGCTGTCCAACACAGCAGCCACTAGCCACACGAGGCTGCCGAGCACCTGAAATGTTGTGCTCTAACTGTAAAATAGACATTGGATTCCAGACTTTGCACAAAGACGGTAAAATATCTCACTCATAATTTTTGCATATTGCTTCCATGTTGAAATAATGGTTTGGATATTGTTAAGTAAAATACATTCCTAATCCCAACTTTTCCTTTTTTTTTTTTCATTTGAGTTCATAATAGTTTACATCGTTGTGAAATTTCAGTTGTACACTATTTCTTGTCTGTCACCACATAGGTGCTCCCCTTCACCCCCTGTGCCCACTCCCCACCCCCCCTTCCCCTGGTAACCACTGAACTGTTTTCTTTGTCCGTGTGCTTGTTTATATTCCACATATGAGTGAAATCATCTGATGTTTGTCTTTCTCTGTCTGGCTTATTTCACTAAACATAATTCTCTCCAGGTCCTTCCATGTTGCTGCAAATGGGATGAATTTGTCTTTTTTTCTGGCTGAGTAGTATTCCATTGTATATATATACACCACGTCTTCTTTATCCAATCATCAGTTGACGGGCACTAGTATAGTTTCCATGTCTTGGCTATTGTGAATAGTGCTGCGATGAACATAGGGGTGCAGATGTTACTTTGGATTGTTGATTTCAAGTTGTTTGGGTAGATACCCAGTAGTGGGATAGCTGGGTCATAAGGTAGTTCTATTTTTAGTTTTTGAGGAATGTCCATACTGTTTTCCATAGTGGCTGCACCAGTTTGCATTTCCACCAGCAGTGTATGAGGGTTCCTTTTTCTCCACACCCTCTCCAGCATTTGTTATTTTTAGTCTTAGTGATTATAGCCATTTTAACAGGCATAAGGTGGCATCTTAGTGTAGCTTTGATTTGCATTTCCCTGATGATCAGTGATGTTGAACATCTTTTCATGTGTTTATTGGCTATCTGCATATCTTCTTTGGAAAAATGTCTGTTCATATCCTCTGCCCATTTTTTAATCGGGCTGTTTGTTTTTCTGTTGTTCAGCTGTCTGAGTTCCTTATATATTATGGAGATTAACGCCTTATCAGATATATGATTTCCAGAAATTTTCTCCCTGTTGGTGGGTTGTCTTTTGGTTTTGATCCTAGTTTCTTTTGCCTTGCAGAAGCACTGTAGTGTGATGAACTCCCACTTGTTTATTTTTTCTTTTGTTTCCCCTGTCTGAGAAGATGTGGTTTTCAAAAAGATCCTTTTACGTTCCATGTCAGAGTGTACTGTCTATATTATCTTCCAGGAGTTTTACGGTTTCAGGACTTATCTTCAAGCCTTTGATCCATTTTGAGATTATTTTTCTGTGTTGCGTGAGACAATGATCTACTTTCATTCTCTTGCATGTGGCTGTCCAGTTTTCCCAGCACCATTTACTGAAGAGACTGTCTTTTCTCCATTGAGTGTTCTTGGCACCTTTGTCGAAGCTGTCCGTGTAGCTTCTCAAACTGTAATGTGCTTCGGAATCACCTGCAGATTTTTACTCTGAAGGACTAGGGTGGGTGGATGAGAGTCGGCACTTCCACTGAGCTCCCCCTGAGGCACTGGCTTCCGCTGGTCTGGGAACCACACTCTGAAAACACAGAGTGAGTGCTCTGCACACGTAAGCACATGTGGATGTGACTCTGTTCGGTGGTCCTCGTTGCCAAGGGCTGGAGTTGCTCCCTCAACCAGATCAGAGCTCCCTCGCTCTCCCCCGCTCTCCTGCGTTTTCTCTGTGGATGGAACACACCGTCTTGCTCTTAGACAATAGCTGGGTGTGGGGGAGGGGGTGCTGCTGCCCTAACCCAAGGAGGCATTGAGGCCACTGCCCTCCCTTGCTCTTGAGTCTCACACTCCCTCTGCTGATCTCTAGTGTGAGTGTGACCTTTACTCCATTGCAGAGATCAGATTCAAGACTACTGGGGTAAGGCCATGGGTAGGTGGGGGGCGTGTAAATAGAATAGGAGGCCTGATGTAACTTTGCCTATTTTGGGGGGGATTCCCCCACTAGAATGTGAGCTCTTCAAGGGCCCAGACTTTGATTTATTCACTGCTGCCTCCTCAGGAGCTAGAACATGGTCAGACACATCCTAGGCGCTCGGAAAGTGTTTATGGGACAAATGAGGCCTGTTTTGGTCCTGGGCATTCAAGCCAAGCTTTCTAGGATTCTAGGATTGGACAGAGTCCCAGTCTTACCTGATAAAGACAGCAGTAAGGGCCTTGCTTTAACCTCTTTTGTGCATGCATTTCCCTTGAGGGAGGGATAACTGTGGCCAAGGGTAGGATTTGGGTCTTATGCCCCTTGTCATAATGCCACCTCAGTGCCACTTCCATCTCTGGCTCAGCCGCAGAGCCCAGGCAAGAGGGAGAGCACTCCTCACCCACGGCCATGGGAGGACGCAAAATCAGAGGCAGGAACAGAGCAGAGGGATAACGAAAAAAAACGTGAGCCCCAAAAAGCTGCAAGGGGAATGTGATGAGTTGCCAAACCCGAGAGAGCAGAAGCAAATATCAAAGCCAGGGACCACGGCCAGGACTCCAAGATCCAGGCAGATGAAGAGACAGCGCAAGTGGGCCGACTACAGCCAGGGAGGGGCCGAGCCTTTCCCTGGGGCAGGCATGTGAGGCTTGCTTTAATGTGCCTCCAGGAGCCCTGCGAGGGTGGGCCAGTCAAGATTAAAGGGGGCCATGGGTGGGACAGACAGAATGGTATTCCCCGGGGCTCTTAGTTTTCTAGGGCTAAAGCTAGGGGGACAGCACGCAGTCTGAGAAGTCAGACCAAGGCTGGCTTCAAATCCCACCTTCTACTTCCTCACTGCCTAACCTTGAGCAAGTCACTTAAAAGCGATCTTTCCTTCACTTGCTGTTAGGAAGGTGCAAACCCTTAATCAGCTTAAAATTTGTATATCCCCAACAATCTCAAAATGGTATTTGGCATACACCCGCCACAAAGTGTCTATATCTGGATCAGTGGGGATTTAGAGAAAGAAATTGGAAAGAAGTCAGCAAAGTAGTTACTGAAGAGGAAAAGCAGAAGGAGAGCTTTGTGCCAAACTTCAAAAGTTCTCAGCTTGGCCTCTGAGGAGGGGAGACTGCACAGAGAAGCAGATCCCTTTGATACGGAGAGCGTTTACGCAGTCACGGACGCTCAGCAGACTCGGTCTGAACCTCTGATTGCTACCCGATTACTTCCAAGACGGGATTGCTAGCATGCCAGCTGGCAAACACGTCTTCCCTCCAATGTGGGTGGTTGTCTAATTTTCACTCCCTTTATTCTCCACTATCTCTTGTACCCACATCATCCCTATAGAAATAGAAGCATTTTCCTGAAAAGATGAGAAAGCTTTTCTTGCTGTATGAAAAAATGCTTTCTCCTTAATGCCAGCACTCTCCAGGAATTTGGGGGCCAGCTCCCAACTATCTTGCCCAGCTTCGGGCAAACTCCGGGGAGCCTCCTGCACCGTCATCACCTACTCCCCACCCATCCGAGAGCCCTGGGTGAGGAGCCGGCGGACCCAGGTGCAGGATGAGAGCTGCAACTGAGTAACAGGTGACATGAGTTAGGGATGTTTCTGAGCCTCCGTTTTCATCTATGAAGAGAATGTCTACAGTGCAGTGCAAACCTCAAGCAAGACGGTGGATTTGAACGTGCTTCGTAAACTAAAAAGTGCCATAACGAGTCAGGGGTGGCAGTATTGTTGTTGTTATAGATGTTCATGCTTCAACCGCTGTGCCTCTATGCTTGATTCCGGATCCAACCATGTATCAGTTAGAATTAAGTTTGGCTGCTAATTACAAAAAAACTAGAAATAAAAGTGACTTAAAGAAGATAGTTTATTTCTCTGTCATATAAAATCTGTCCAGAGCTGTTATGGTGCTCCAAAGACTCAAAATCCTTTTATCTTGTCGCTTTACCATGGGTAACTCCCATTCCTAAGGTCATCTCACGGTCCAAAATGACTAGAAAATCCAGCCATTACACCACAATCCAGTCAACTGAAAAGAAGGGGTGAAGACGAGCATGCCGCCTCCCTTTTAGCGCACTTCTGGAGATTGTAGTTCTGCTTACCTCCACTGGCCATACCTAGCCACATGGCCACATCTAGCTGCAAGGGAAACAAGGAAATATAGTTTCTCTTCTGAGTGACCATATGCCCAGCTAAAAATGGAGGGGTACTATTACTCAAGAAGAAGGGGAAGCTAGGGAGTGTCCACCACAGATGGTCATTTCTCCATCCTCATCTTAACCCACCCGCCAGTAACCTTTCACCGCTCCCCATGGAAACTTCTTCTCTGTAAGAAACACTTTATTCTCTGAGAATAAAACCACACTCTCTTGGCTTTCCTCCTCCCCTCTTCTAGCCTTAAATGTTGGAATGACTCAGGGCAGTCCTGAGGACACGTCTCTCTTCTCCATCCATACTTTTTTCCTAAGTAATTCATCTAGTCCCAAGAACCTAAATGCCAACCCAGGGGCCAATGCATCCCAATCCAGCCCTGGCCTCTCGCCTTCATTCCAGAATCATATTTGCAGCTGCCACTTGACATCTCCACTTGGATGTCTAATAGGTATCTCAACC